GCACATGTGGCTAGCACCTCAGGGAAAGGGGATCACATTGCACGACCTGCCTTGATCTTATTACAAAGACTTAGCTTATGGGGCAATTCTGGAAATAAGTTCTGCACCAGGAGTCATGTATTTTTTAGGGAGGGAGGAATGCAAAGCAGAACACTTTAAACTACAGCAAAACAAACTGATCCATCAAGGAAGAGAAATAGAGTCCAGTCTGTTCCCGTACACAATGAGATCACTTGGGGGCTGTTAAGTTTGTTAGTTTAATGTATGCATTTCCAGCTCATTTCGCTCCAAAATGCTCAGCCCACGGAGGAGCCAGGATTTCCATGTAAATGTTGAGAGAATGAACCAGCTCTAGTCATGGACACATAAATCCCCTCCAAAGGGAAACACTTCCAAACTGGGGCTACTCTTACATCTTCCTCTTCCTTCTCCATGCTGAGCCAGCAGGAAGGCAATGAACATTTGCAGTTTTCTAGCATATGACACATTAAAGTAAGAGATGCTGACAAGGCAAGAAAATGGAAAACGAATTATGCAGTGCTGGATATTCATTACCAGTGAATGTTAAAAAACAAGTGGTCTCCCTGGGTTTCATTATATTTTATGTGTCTACGTGATGGCAGACAAGAAGCATGCACTCCCCAGAGGCTGCCAATACCTCTCTCAGACTAATGGGACACTTAAGACATTAGTTGGTCTCAAATTTAAGATCCTTTTTACAAAGGCTGTTTCAGGTACATATTTTCCCTCAGCCCTGATATGAATACAGGATCTTTATCAACAATGGAGAGTCCCAAATATGAACCTCTCTCCTAAGCATTTTATTCTTACTTTATCATAATACCCCTAAACAGGGAAATGGGCAGAATCAAAAGCTTCACAGGAACAGACTAAGAGTCTCTGACCTAAATGCAAATGAGCAGAGATACTGACCTTAACAGTTGCAGAGACCTCTCAGCTCTAAAGGCCAGAAGTCTTGTTGGTGTGGTGCTCAGATTGATTAATAAAACAGTGAGTTTTAAGAGGACTAGAGGTCTCGTGTTAAAGGACAGATAGTACTTTCTCTCCCCAAGGGACTTATTTGTAAGGAAATTCTTATATGTTTAGTAGTAGAGAGCTGGAGTATCAAACTGGGAGCCAATCATCCTTTAGAAAGCTGTTGTTTTCCTGCTAAAAAGTATTTCTCATAGAATCAACAGAAGCAGCTCAGCTCTCATCATGAGCAAACAGGCAGTAAAACCTAAGGGTAATCTAGACATATGAGCAATTTACTGTGGGGTGAAAGGGGTTGGAGCTTTACTGCACATCAAGTGATCAATGTTAACTGCCCCTGTGCCTGCCTTTACCCCAAGATAAATGACAGCTAAAGCACAGTACCTTAAGTCCTTAGTGAAAGAGGTATAATTTACAGCAATTTCGTTTTCACTTACCTTAGGGTAAAAGCAATATACAGGTAGTTACTACAGAATAGCTATAACTGTCCCACCCCTTGTTCCCAGAGATAAGTTGATTGTATGTCTATGCCCTGACTGAATAGCAGGAAATGGGATGCTCAGGTGTTAGGTTAGCAAATCCAATTTCAAATTTCTAAGGTGTTCTTTAGTTCTTTATTACTTGCTAAGCACCAAAAGCTCTGCCTATATATCCACCATCCCTGCCCCTCACAGTAGCTGAGCTGCTCCAGACACAGCATGGGGGTGGTTTCTGCACCCAGTGAGCCCCTTGCATGGTGTGAGGAGAGGGAGCAGTGAACTTTCATATAGTGACTCTGCGCTCAATCTTGTCTGCTCAGTAATGGAGAGGACTTATGGCTCCTTGCTGCCTCCTACATGAGATTTCCAAATCCTGTCTCCTGCCCTGTGTGGTGAACCAACCCACTCAGCACTTGAAGAATTCCCCCAAGACATGGGCTAAATGCGGTGGCCAGGATTTGGCACTTAGACCATTCATATCTTTTTTGCTTCAGGAAGACAACAAGCAATAGCTACAGTCTAAGGGTTATAATTGCCTCATTAAAACTAGAAATGTATCTGCATTTCCTTTTATAAAGGCCTGGAATACAGAAGCACCTTCTTGGGTTTAGAGTGTGGTCTGTTAGCTGCCTAGTCAGACCCTGCATGGTCCTCTAATAAGGGTGAGAAAGCTTCTAAAAGCAGGCCTTTTGACTTGTGTTGAGTCACTGAGTGCCAACTTGTTCAAATTAGTTCACAGTATTGTAAATACAAACAGAGACACCCAGCAAACTTGTGTGCCAATAAACATATGTTTATTCTATGCTTTAGACTAAATCACTGATGCCTGAGACAGGGATTGCTGCATTTACATTTACAGTCCTGTTTGTTAAACCAAGTTAACTGACCTTCTTGAATTAAAAAAGGCCATGAACTCTAGTCTACGTAGGGTCTTGGAGACTTCTATCATGAGCCACTGGGCAACTCCAAGCCTCACTCTATATCCCCTTTGCTGGCAATATATCTTTTAAATGAGCGATTTTTTACTGATGAATGATTTGTAAAGGACATGTGGGTTGTTAGACAAGAGTTCAAACTAGCTTGTGAACAGTTATTCTCAGCCAATGCCCCTCACTGTTTGGGCAAGCACCTTAATTACCTTGTTGAAATGCTTCAGGTACATGTAGCACACACCCAGATTGTGGCTGATCTCCTAATGAGAAAAAAAAGGAAAAAGTTGCATAAGGTTGAACTGTGTGCTGGACAAGCAGAAAGAGATGAGCAGCAGTTGTCTTTGGTTGGAATGGAATCTCCCTGTATCAGATAAAGCCCTCTTTTGCTTTATAGTTCAAAGAAATCAATACACTTCAGTCATTTTAAGAATCTGAGTTTACACTTTATCCTAAAGTAAACAGCACAGCCCAAGAGAGATGAAAGCACAAGAAAAACAAGGACAAAAGACCTGTTTCAAGCCTGCCAAACATGCAGTAAACAAAGGGCTAACACTATGCCCAACACATGCCTCAGAAAGTTTGCTTGATTAAGGGGAACTTGAATGAAAAGGAGATCCATCTGCTAGAAGGTTGCTTCTTTGTTTAGCATGGAGTGGGATGAAGAAGAGAGTGGTGCCAAATATACCCACGTACTGAGCCTGATTTTGAGAAGTAATGAGTTCCCAAAATCCTAGCTGAAGTTGATGGGAGCAGGGAATCAGGCCCACTACACTTTAAACTGGCAGATTAGCCATAGCTTGCTTTGTGAAACCACGTACAGGAAGCCTATGCCAGCAACACACCACTTCTTCTGTAGGTATGCATTTGCATACAGAATGCTGTTCACAAGACACTGTACAACATATCCTCATTCTTTCTTCATCTCGCTCCATCTTTTACAGTCATTGCCCTTCATCATAGTCATTTTTCTCTCTCCTTTCTTCTTCTTTGTGAAGGCCTGATTTTTGCCAAGATGGAAAATACTCAGTGCAATCCCTGTCACTTGTTTTGGGAGCAACTTTTTTTTAGATATTATTTTGCCCTAGTTGGATACCAAAGGGATCAGTGGTACTGGAGGGTTTTTAGCCTAGGCAGTCATTTCCCTTGTTTATCCTTGAAGCAATTTAGCTCATTATGTACTAAAAGGCTAAGCTGGGTTTAATTTGAAGTCTGATACCCTGCAGAGCGCACACACATTGTTTGAGTCTAGGTTTGTGCCCAAGACTCCTATAAACTATGTGAAAAAAGGCCCTAGACTTACCCAGTCCTTTTCATTCAGTTTAGCTGCTTCATTGTACACTTCAATGGCTGCTTTGTGTTTCCCCAAAAGAAACCTATGAAAATAAATCAACTTTTAGTTTCTTTGCCCTGAACATGTTCCCTCCAACATGCCTGCCAAGGAGAAATTATATTTATGCAGCTTCACAGATCTGTAAGTTACTTTATAGCCTAACATGCCAGATTTGTCCCAAGAAATTTAAAATCTAAGGGAATGTCCATACTGTATCTCTGGTGTGACTGGGGCACCTACTCTCAAGCAAACCCCATCCACTTACTTCCAACTGCATGGACCAAACCAAGAAAGCTCGAGCTTTCTGTGTCCAGCATGCTTAGCTGTGGACATTAGGGGTGTTGTGAAAATAGCTTCCTGGTCATATTTCCAGGTGTGGCACATGCAGGTGGCAGCAGGTGGGTGGGGTGCACTCAAAAGTGGACATCTCTGGCAGCACTAGGAAGGTGGTATAGATATAGGCAGCGTATCAGCACTGTTCCCTAGCTACTCAGAAGGGTTGCATTGAGAGAGACAAAGCACTCCATTCCAAGAATACAGATATATTACTTCTTCAGTGCTGTGTTTGACCCAGGAAGAGACACAAGTGACCAAAGTTGAACCTGCCACCTACCCCCAGACAAGGCTCTGCATAGTGCAAGCTTGATTTCACAGCTCTGGATTTAATATTCTGTCTTTAGCATTCAAAATACCAAGACGAAAAAACGATCCAAGTGCATCAATGGTGATGACTAGACAGATGCTCTGTGCCAGAGATTCTGATTTAATGAGAAGTCCTTGCCCAGGAAAACCAACTCAAGTGGTGATAGGAAGGAAGCATACTTGGGATTTAAATGGTATCAACTTTGCATCTGGAAGATAAACAAAACCTGCAATGTCCTGGGTGGCACTTCCCAGATTAGTAAGTAAATGACACTCACAGTGATCGTGCCACCTGCTTGAGGTTGTCAGCACTTTGAGGATTCAGAATGGAACACGTCTGGAAGAGTTCTAGAGATTCCTGGATTTTCCCTTCCAGGCGAAATATCAAAGCTGCAAAGCAACATATGCAACATATGTTAGTTTAGTACTCCACGAAGGAGAAAGCTACATCCCTGGCCTGCACTGTAAAGCAAGGATAAATAGACTGAAATCATATGAAGTCTGTTTTCCCCTCTATTGCAGCAGTGTAGCCAGAAATTCATATTTGGAATAAACTGAGGTGCATACAGGATTTTTTGGTTGTTTGAAGGCTACTTTAGAAGAAAGAAAGCCCCAAGTAGTAGCCTGAACCTTTCTTCAGTAACAGAAAGCCTAGATTCCTTTTCCCTCTCTTGTGTACTATTGTTTAACTACAAACACTGATGCTGGATGATGAACTTCAGCTCTCCCCCATCCCTGCATTCTGCAACATATCACATGGACTCTCAGAATTTAGGATCTAGTTCTGCAGAAAAAAAATAATATTGCACTCTTCCTCTTTTGCATAACACAGACTGCCATGTGCTCAGGAGCTGTGTGTTAATGTTATTAATTATAATAGCTGTAATTTATTAGGGTAGTGCTCCAAGGTCAACCAAGAATGGTTCTCTTGCATGAAGTACATTACAAATATAGAGTACTAGACAGTCCCTGCCCAGAGAACCTTATGCTCCAACATGACAAGACTAACAAGGGTATGTCTACACCTCTCTCAGAAGTGAAACAAAGGCTCCCCTGTTAAGTCCCTCCTTGTCATATTATCTTGCTGCAACGGGATGTGGGAAACAGATGGAGAAAAAGTACTGGGCGGACAGACTCTTAGAAGGGAATGAATTCAAATAGAGCTTTTCTAGGAACTGTCTGTCCTTCTGTGTTTTGCTTTAATTACAGTCAGTAGAGAGAGTAGTGTGGGGTAGTGCCAGAGTGTGATATAGTCTGCTCAGAACAAGGCAGGGGAAACCATGCTAGAAGGAAGATCAGCTTTGGGGCCTGATGCTCAGGACAGCTTCTGAGACAAGCTAGACCATTTCTGGGGGTTTGTAATGTGGGAAGCCAGTGGAGTTTGGGCTAAAGCACAGACCTGTGAGCAGCCCCAAGCAGTAATACAGACAGTCTCTAAACAAAACAGCAGAGTGAACAGTGAGATTGTAGCACATGTGTCATGTTAACTGCATTTTTGGGGTATCAGTTTTATATAATGGCTTTCATTTTCATGCCATTCCACAGCAATGAACAGGCACTGGTAATGGATGGATTGTACAAACAAACACAGCAGCCACTGGAAGAAAGCTATGTCATGAAGGATTTAAATGGTATTAACTTTGCATCCACTGTGTGCAGACAGATGCCATTCACCCTTTCACATTAAGGTGTCCTTAAAAGAAACTGTGACCTACTTGGTTACCTAGAAGCACACAACTAACAGAGGCAAACATTCTTAACACATTTCAGAGGATGCAGTGAAATGCACAGGACAATTATAAAAAGGGGTATGCATCATTACTTTCAAGAGGATATGAAGATATCAGGTCTCAAAAAAATCCTCATACTCAAGGAGGTAAAAAAAGACCCTTAATCTGTTCACTAAACTGACAATCCTGAGTTTCAAAATTAAACCCAGCAAGTAGAAAAATGTCAGAAGTTATCGCAAGCCTATGTACTCGAGCACGGTTTTATGAGCTCTGCTAGAGATCACATATGGAACTTGTATTTGTGAGATTTTTTTTCACTAGCAAATGCATTTTAAGACAGCAGCATATTTCAGGGTGACAAACAGATTCTTTTCATAGTCTTCATCTGGCATACCTTGAACGTAGACTGCGTATTCACACATTCCATGACTCTCCTGGAGTTGTTCTTTGATAATCATCTGAAATAGTGAAGAGATAACATTATGCCAAATGGCAGTCCTATCACCAAAGAGCCTGTGGGACAGTGGACAGTTACTCCCTGACATAAGGGATCTAATAATAAAATACTATAGCTTTCCTGTAAACATAGCCAGCCAAAAGAGGACTGGATAAAGTCATGAATGATAGGTCTATTAATGGCTATTGAACAGAATGGTTGGAGATGTTTCCTCTGGCATCTCGAACCCAATAAATGATGGATGCCAGGAAGGGTACTGAATCTATAGCATCCGTTTCTGCCAGTATCAGAGACAAAATACTGGGCTCAATGGACCACTGGTCTGACCCAGTATGGCACTTATATTCTTAGGTATACAATAAAATCTCTTCATATACTAACAGTTCAGTAAACTGTATATTTAAAGTGATGTTTATTTCAGACTGACCAAATAACTCCCTTAATCCAGTCGGAAAGCATGTTTTCCACGTACTATGCTCAACTACACTGTACTTCACCAATGCTTCTTACACAAGGCCCATTATCTTAATTACAGTAGAACCCCGACTTACACGTATATTGCGTTCCTGAGAAACCTTGTGTATCGTGAATTTGCACAACTCGAGGTGAATTTTCCCATAGGAAATAATAGAAAAGTGAGGGGTTGCGTTCCTTGGACTTCACATTTATGACACCAAAGGTACCAAATACAACCTTTTTCAACCAATACTTTATTTATTATGTTACAAAAACGTATTGTAAACATAGTTATTCATTTACATTATAAGTAAAAGAATAAAAGAGTACAAAATGGACACGCAACAATCTTTAATCCATCCATCAATGGGGAACCGAGTCTTCATGCAGGTTGAACACATCAAAAGATGGTGGTGATATCTTTCCCCCAGAAGTGGCTGGCTCTCTCCCAGAAGTGGAGGGCTGAGAGTCGGTTGATTGAGACGAGATAGTGCTGTCCCGCTTCCTGAAGAACTTGTCCAAGGAAGACTGCACCAAGCAGTGCTGCTTCTCCCTGTAAAGCTCCATGTAGCAGGCACTGGCTTCCTTTATCAGCCTGGCAACCTTAGCACTTCTTTCATGATTGGGGTCATTCTCATCAAAGAAGGCTAGATAACCATCCAAAAGTTTGAACGTATCAGCCATGCCTTTCATCGTGAGAACTCGGGGGGAGGGCCTTTCATTTAATTTTCTTCTATGGGCTCATTTTTCTTCATGGTGCTCCCTAACCAGCTCAAGAAGATCCTCATTTGAGAGTTCCTCCCTATGGGAATTAAGCAGCTCAGCCCCGTTTTCCTCGGCGACCTGCTCAAAGCCCACACTCTTAGCCATCTCGACAATCTCATGCCTCGCATCACTGATAAATTCGTCAGCAGCAATGCCTCAGAAATCATTCACAACAGCAGGCTTTTCCAGACACCATTAAGGCACTGCTGCGTAATATAATTCCAGGCATCTCCGATGATGTCTATAGTCATCTTGATGTTAAATGCCTTCCAAAATTCTTCGACGTTTGCCTTTTCTTTTAACTTTGTCTCATTTATAAGCTTCTTGAAGGTCCTCCGTAGGCAACAGCTCTTGAAAGCTCGATTAACGCCCTCATCCATGGGCTGGATGAGCGACGTGTTTGGTGGCAAGAACAGCACCTTAATGTTCTCACTGAGGTCGCCAAGGCTTGGGGTGTCCTGGAGCATTATCAAGAAGCAGTAGAACTTTGAAAGGCAGATTTTGCCTGTCACAGTAAGCCCTCAATTCCAAATGCAGCAGACTGGAAAAATAATCTTCAAACAATGATCCAGTAACCCATCCTTTCTGGTTGGCTCTCCAATAAACAGGCAGGTGCCCCTTTGCATAACACTTAAGCGCCCAAGGGTTTTCAGCGTGGTAAACCATCAACGGTTTGAGCTTGAAGTCGCCAGCTGAGTTTGCTCCGAGCAGCAGTGTGCAGAGATCCTTTGCAGCCTTGAACCCTGGGGCTGTTCTCTCCTCAATTGAGATTAACATGCGACTCAGCGTCCGTTTCCAGAAGAGACCGGTTTCATCCAAGTTGAAAACTTGCCTCAGATCATAGCTTCCTTCCTCAATGGCAGCCTGTAGGATTGAAGGAAATTTATCTGCAGCACTTTTATCAGCAGCTGCTGCTTCGCCCATCAGTTTGAGATTATGAAATCCATGGCGTGCTTTAAATCTATCGAACCATCTGGGGCACTTGCATTAAATGGCTTGGCTTCAGGATCATCACACTTTAACACTTCATAAATGCTGCTTGCCTTTGCCTGAATCACCTGGGTCGAAAGCAGCACATGTTCTTGATTCTGGTGCTCAATCCATGTTGTCAACATGCGTTCCATTTTCTCCATGATGGCCAACCTTGTTAATGAAACATGGGCAGTAGATAAATGTGTAGCACTCTTACAGGACTCCTTAATTTTCTCCGCATTGTCCCTAATTGTACGGAGAGTCGACTCACTGAGCCCTGTAGCACTTCCTTTGTCTTCTCACCTCTTTTGTATCTCTTCACAACTTCAAGTTTTTCTTCCAAAGTTATAGTTTTTCTTTTCCTTGTAGAGGTGGAAGCACTTGTAGAATCAGTATTAGAAGCACTCATCTTGAACACAATGGCGATACTGAGGCTGAATCCTGAATCCAGAATCCTGCTTGGAAACCCAAGCTGAGCATAACTCCACTTGACTCAGTCTGTGCATCTCATGTATATACGCTAATGACGTGCATCTCAGGGTGTATTTTTCTGCTTAGGTGCTAATATTAATGTGCGTAAACGCGAGACTTGGGTAAATCGAATATGCGTAAAACAGGGTTCTACTGTCTTAATTTGGATTCAATAAACTGCCTTATTGTACTGCCTTTGCTGCTGCTGTTTTGCTCATGAAACCAGAAAAAGTATCATTAAGTGACTTTCACATATGATAAAACAACAACATTCATACAAACCAAGCCCTGCAAAATGACTTTTAAAATAAATATTCATATATAAGCCATATTGAATTATTGGAGCTAAACTCGTTCTGTGTTATATAATAAACTGCCAGAATTTTAACTGTGGTTGTAGCAACAGCCCATACTCGAATTCTCTTATTAGCACAGTTCTTCTTTGCAGACTGTAGTTCTCCAGCACCATTACACAGTATCTTTGCAGTTAAAAGACTAGCCCTAAGCAACTAGAGGCAAAGTATATGGCTATATAAGTTTTAAAGTTATATTTTTGATCACTCTTTTGCAGCAAAAGAGGAAGGGCATTCATGATAAGAAACGTCCATGTAACTGCACAGCAGAATTCCTGGGCTAGAGGGTAGGGGTGGAGGAGAAGGAGGGCAGAAAATTAATCCAAACGGGAAAGTAACAGTAAAATCCAAGCACAGTATTGCAGTGTTTCCCTCTTCATTCTCATGACCAAAGAAAATTAGATATTCTTCAAGAAAAACACCACAAGGAACCTTTGAAAACCTCCTGTGCCGACAAAGGCCTCTACTCCAGGCTCTTTGTGAAGAAATAAATTAAACTGGGACAGCTGCAACACAGTCCGTGAAAGTAGAATGAACAAATAACACTTGTCAGAGAGACGAGAGGAAGGAGCTGATAAAAAAAAGTGTCAGACCTTTATTTGGCTACATAGGGCAGGGCTGGGATGAAGGCAGAAATGTACAATAATTGCCAAATGATCTGCAGCTGCTATAATCTACTATATTTTGCTCCTGGGTCAGAATGAAGAATTACCAAAGATAGACTAGACAGAGTGGTCTTTGGAAGGGCAGGGGTTATGACTAAGAACTGGCTGTACTCATTATCAATGAAATAGGGCTCTGAGGTTTCTCCCTCAGCCACAAACTGGTTTTTGAAGAGGGGAGAAGACTGGAATGGGTGAGGTGAGGACCTAGGAGGAGGTTAGGTGGGAATGCCTTTTTCCAATCTGGAAGTTAACTGGTGCCGCTCTGATACTTCTGCAAAGGATGTATACAGCACCAACAGCCCTTGCCTAAGAGAAAGAGAGAGAGAAAGAGGAGATTGGAAACAAGGCGGGAAATAAGCCAAAAAATTAGCTCATAAAACAAATGAGCATTCATAGGCTTATGGGTATAGGGGAGCCTTTATTGCAAAGAGTCTTTATGAAATGATTGAAGGATCCTAAATGAGGACACTCTCACTTTAGCTTGGATGTACAGAAGAGGTTCATTTGAATATCTGAGAGGAAAGAAAACCAAAGATGAGGGAAGAGAAGAAATTAAAAGAAACTCCGGGCCTCTCTTCTCTTTAAATCTGGATCTGTCAATTAAACATATTCCTTCCATACATCTTCATTTTGGCATTACACATTCAATTAGTAGTAGATGTTCATAAACAGCTCTCTCAGCTATTTCTAAATACCACTCTTTGATTATGGAAAGTGCAACATTTTCACATCCCCCACTATATTAGCTTCTTAGTGCCAGAGAGGGCAACAGGGCAAATTTAACTAATTCTTTAAGTCCTGTAGCCACAGGCACCAACTCCATGGGTGTTCTGGGGCTCAAGCACCCACTGAAAAAAATTAGTGGGCTCAGCACCCACAGCACTCCTCCAGTGTGCAGGGCCAGCCTAGCCTGACCCCAAAGTGCACAGCTCCCTGCATTCCCCGCCCTCTTTCCCCCAACAGGAGTCCCTGGCCCCAGCCTGGTGAGGCCTTCACCTGCATTTTCAGGCTCGTAGGCAGGGAGACTAGAAACAGCCCCAGGGTGGCCAGGAAAAGCCTCTGCCAAGCAGAGGCTTCTTGTGTCTAGCGTCCCCTGGCTTGGGGTAGGGTGCGTCGGGCTAGGCGGGGGTGGAGTGGTTGCTTAACTATCAGAGCCGCAGAGCCAGGGCTTACGGAGGGGCCCTGCGGGTTGGAAGGAATCACCTGGGGGGCCAGATCTGGCCCACAGGCCATATTTCACCCACCCCTGCTCTAATTCTTTAAGATCCCAAATCCTATTCCACCTCTAGGGCGCCTATGTGGCACTTAGGCAGATTTCAGACATCCAAGTCACTAAACCTGATCATATTTAGCCTGTACAACTGCCAAAGCTCCACTAAGATGCTTAGATTCCTCCACGTTAGCCTGTGAAGTCCTGTATGCGACTAGACCTGGCTCCCTGCTCTGAGGTATTCCAGTATGGCCACCCAGGCATCTCACTGCACTTCTGCTCTGTCAGGATCTTGTTCTTTCTGGAATATGCATACATTCTCTGCATGTCCCCAGATCCCTTCTCTGAAAAAAAGATGTCACACACAGGGCAACTGCTGGATGCTGATATGAAGGCGAGAGTGGGAGCAGTGTGACGGTGACCACCTTTTATGCAACAGTCGCATGGTTACAGCATTTACCCAGGAAGGGGGAGGTTTGGGTTGTAGGCCTACCTCATCCTGAAGGGATATGAACCCATGTGTCTTTCTCAGGACAATGCCCAAACCACCATACTTGCTAGTTAGGCAGAGTGGAGACCATCTCCCACCCCTCCCGTTTAAGCTGGACCATTAGGTGGAAATGAATTCAAGGAGCTCAGGTGAGTGAGAAAGAGGGAGTGTAACCCTGCCAGCCCACGAGGAGGGCAGTCATCTGGGAGAGAAAGTACAGTGATCTGCCCGCTGTTCTCTGCTCCAAGAGCTAGCTATCCATCCTACCCAATGATCATTAGATGCTAAAGGGGGAAAAACAGGTCTGGTAGCAAGAAACAATCCTGGATGCCCTCCGTGGCAACCATGAGTGCCCTAACCATTATGTAAAGAGTCCTACTATCTCTTGCTCATTCCTTGGACTGTTCAATGCATTCTGCACTAGACAGACATTGGTTAAAGAAAAAAAAAGCCCGGTAGACAACCCTGTGTGAGGGAGAACCCCAAGGCACCTCTTCTCCTGATGAACAGGATTGAGATGAATCCTTATGTGATGGAAGAACGTTAGATTGCCCTTAAGTCTGCCCAAGAATAGGAGATGGAGGAGAATCACTCTCCCACGCCTTGATGCATAGGTTTAAGGTGAGCAGCATCTAAGTCTCAATCACCTTACAGGCAAAATAAGATCTGGGCCTATTTCTTCAAATACTTGATTCTATAGATCACCGTGTGCGCGCGCACACGTGTGTGTGTGCACAGGCTATGGTCCAACCCTGCTAATTTAATTCTAAAATTATTTTATTTTGTGAGCTCTGAAGATCACAGGAGCTTCACAGACCAGTTTATGAACTACTGTTTCAATGCTAACTTGCCAAGGAAAAGAAAATCACTTAGGTTCCCTGGGTTTGGCCTCCTTTTCTAGCTCTTTATTATGACTGAGAGAGACCAAAACGATTCCTCCTTCCTTCAGGCCTTTATAAAGTTACTGTCCTATTTGTTTCTCATATTTGAAGTTCATTTCTTTTCTGCCTCATGGCATTCCATGTCTGACTGGAGCACTGATAAATTAATAATAAGAAACTAAAGAAACGCAAGCAGAATAAATAGATGAGGAAGAGATTTGTCTTCAATACTTCATTTGTTTATTATATCCATTTAACTTTGAGAGAAAAGGTTTCTGTCGAGGATTTAATACCCCAGATCCCTCAAGTAAACTCCTGGTCCATGTTTACTGGTCATCCAAGAAGTTCTCCAACAAAGATAGAGGAGATGAGACCAGATATTCCTTGATATAAAAAAAAACAACAAAAAACACCAACCCAAACGAACCAACAGGACTGGCAACAAAACAATCTTTTCAGTTCTTCATTTTACATCATAGAAACATACAAGCTACTCCAATTTCCCTCCCCTTGTCCCTCTCCAAGTCACCTTTAATAGATTGTGTTAATCTTGTCTAGAGAACATACTGTTTAAATGACTTGCTATACTCTATGTCCACTTACCATTACAGTTCTACAACGATGAACAGGCTCAAGCTATTCACTAAACCCAAGAGAAATCAAAAGGTGCAATGTATCATGGGCAAAAGGAATGAATTTCAATCACACAAAGCCAAGACCTTTCCTCACACTCTCTTGTGGGAGTGTTTTGCTCTACAGAACTATTTTCATGCTGTCTCTAAAACATCACGAGGAGACTATGCTGTTGTCTAGTGGGAAGACCCTGTTTGTCACCAAAAACAATGGAGGCCTGTATTTGCTCCAATTTTTGAATTTTCCAAGACACACAATCAGTAAAGCCCACTGAAACCCCTGACGCTGTAGAGATTTGTAAACATAAAGGTGTAAATGTTGTTGAGCAAAGCATTTTTCACATTTGCTTTGCTTATGGTCTCTCTCTGTCTTCAGGCTCCCAGGGGAAATCAGGGAAGAATGTGATTGGGACACATACTACTTTCTCCCTAAGACACTAACATGGAAACTACCATTATCCCCCTTAGGCTTTAGTAATACTAACCCCTGTAGGCCAGACCTCAGCTAGTTTAAATTATCATTGCTCCAGCGAAGGACAGAGTTACACCGATTAACACTGGCAGAAGATTTGAGCCTGGTGTGTTTGCAAGAGGAAGTTTAAACTCTAATAGAGAATGCAGATCAGGCTTAGGAACTAAGCAATGAAACCAATACAACACTCCTTATTGCCATTCCTTCAAGACAGCTCTTACCTTACATGCGTCATAGTCTTTGCGGACATAGTGCAGGTGGATCAGCCAGTTCCTTCTCTCCAATATTGGCAGCTCTGGCACTGGATTAAAAACATCGGCAGAACACAGACAACCATCAGAAATGATACAGCAGGATCTCTTCTGTATAAGGCCATGGAAATTCCCAAATGAAAAAGGAACTGCACTAGCAAGTGCTATTATTATTTTTACCCAAAGCCTGGAGTTTGGCCTTACATGTCATAAACTACATCACAAGAAGGGAAGGAGTTCAGAACTGATGGATGAAATACACCACAGGGGCCAACCTTCTTGACAGCCATGCTACAAAGTAAGCCCTATATCTTCACCCACGTGATGTACTGAATTATTTTCCTGCCCAATCTGTGGCTCTGCTTTCTGCTCTCTACCCTACCTGTTGCTGTGTTTCCTGCTCCCTCCCTGGTCTGCCACATGCCACACACACAAGCTGCCCATGACACTTGGCCAACCCTGCAATACTCTGTTCAGCATAGAGACTAACTATGCCTCCTTAGCAGAAAACAGAATACCAATTCAGACTTGCTGCAGGCAGTGCCATCACATTTACCTGCTCATATGTTTTAACTGAACATTAATGCTGGTTTGATGGGGCTTAGGCTTCCACATATGCAGAATCATCTTAGGGAACAAGTTCAGTTCACGCTTTAAAAGTGCAACACAGCAGATAAGCCACTAGGGCTGGCGGAAAAGAGAAATGGATAATAAACACAGAGAGACATTGCCATTCTGGACACACAAGAAAATACAAATAATTTACAGAGACTAAACTTAGTCCTCTGAACCATCACAGGTGTGGGATACAGCAAAGCCAGCAGCTGATAATGTCTATTGGATGTAGTGATAGATGAAGAGACATATGTTCCCATACACCAACTGTAAGGAGCCTGCAGCAGCAATTATGGTAAATCACGAATGGATGTTGCTTGGTAATATTCATGTTGGGTTTAAAAGTTTAACACACTGCTGTGCATTTCATTAGGACTTAAAATGTATTGCTTGGTTACTCATTTCTGTAGCTCAGATGCTGGTAGCCCAGAAGTAACCATAGCAACTGGCAAAAATGCTATATGTTTGCAAGTCAATATTATGACAGAAGCACAGAAGCAAAGCAAGGCAAAGACTGTTGCAACACTAACAGCAGAAGCTATTATGATATACCATTAGGCCACCTTCCTTCTCACCCCCACCCTGTGCAGTGCAGACCCAAGCAATCTCCTATATCTGTCAAATGGAGGTGCACACTTGGCTTTAATAACTAGAGCATAGAAAGATGAGGATATTATTTTAAATGGTCCATACTAGCTGCCACCAGCCTTCGGCACAGGTCAAGATCAGCTCTGAGAAAAGAGGGAGCTCAGCAGATGAATGGAATGAGTGCTGTCAGAAGACAATATAAGGACAAAATATTAGCATCTCCTAGAAACTTTGAACTTTACTAGTGTCAGGGCTATAAATTTCCACTAGTAGTAAATACACATTTCTTCACTCACCCCATGGTATAACAGTCAAAATGCTGACTGTTATATGACATTGTTTTAGCAATGAAGAGTACACTTAGACAAAGACTAAAAAAAGTGATTAAAATAACAAATTTCTCTGAATATTAAAAACACCACTTAAAATAACTGAAAATTAAAAGAATTTGTATAAGCTAATTTGCTTTTTTTATGCTGCCAGACAAATGAAAGAGCTGAGGTTAAGAGTAGATATCAGTAATTTACACTTAAAGAGATTACGGAGATGCTTTAATTATAACCCATTATAAGCCCAGGGAATTCAGAGTTAAATTTGAAAAAGAAATCTATATATGATAAAGTACAAAAAAGGCATCCAAAAGTCCATTCTGTTCTGTTGTGATACCTCGTAATAACCAGATGATTATGATTAAGGCTTTGTAATATGTATGGTTCCAGATTAATTTAAGATATTGCAGTTTTCCTTTTGCAGTGATGTCATTACAATGATAATGTTAAGGTTGTTGCTTAAATCTTTATTGATTAGTTGAAAATGCTGGCTTCATCAGGAGGTCAAGCAGGACCAAAGCTGTTATTTTGTGATTCTCTTGGGTTAAATGGTCCATGTATACAGATTGAACACAACTTCTTTGCAGAAGGTAACCAGGGTGTAGGGGTCTGGTAAAGCTCCCTTTTCGTAGAGCAGCGTGACATTAATTGTAAATTTAGAAACTGAGAGTCACAAAGGCCACTATGAACAATCCTAAATCCCACTCACTATAAAGTAACCTAATTGTGATCATCATTTCAACCATAGTAAGAATTACAACATACTTTGCCAGGACTGTGTTAGTTAGAGTACGGAATCACAGTAATATACTTCAAAATGAAGCGTCTCAGACTTGCCAAGAAATGGAAGCAGGTTCTGTGCCCTGGGTGCCCGTGGGAACTACTGTTTTTTGTATCTCTTTTGAGTGGATGCATAGGGCTGGTGCCCTGGTCACCTACATGTACTTACACTACTGGGTGGAAGATTCAGGCCAGATATAAGAAGAGCTTTTAGTGCCCTGGAAAATGGAAAAACTCCTGGAATGGAGAGAATAGTCAAACTGTTAAATAGTCAAATTCCACTGAAATTCATATGAACTCACCAGTACAAGCTGTAGATTCCTTAATGAGTGAAAGCAAAACTTCTTGATTTAACACACAAAGAAATTAGATCTTTTGGAGTGTGATAGTGGAGGAGGCATTATGCACATATAAGCACATCCACTCTTTGGCACTCTGGTGTAGTGCCCGAAGACTGGAAGAAGGCCAATGTGGTGCCTATCTTCAAGAAAGGGAGGAAAGTGGATCCGGCTAACTATAGGCCCATCAGCCTGACTTCTATCCTGGGGAAGATCTTAGAAAAGTTTATTAAAGAGGCCATCCTTAATAGACTGGCCGACACCAACATCTTAAGGGATAGCCAGCACGGGTTTGTTGCGGGTAGGTCTTGCTTGACCAATCTCATTTCCTTCTACGACCAGGTGACCTATCACCTGGACAAGGGAGAATAGATTGATGTCATATATCTTGACTTCAAAAAAGCCTTCCATCTGGTGTCCCATGATCGCCTCTTGGAGAAACTGGCCAATTGTCGCCTTGGGTCCTCCACGATCCACTGGCTGGAAAATTGGCTCCGGGGTCGGACCCAGAGGGTAGTAATTGATGGAAGTCACTCATCGTGGTGTCCTGTGACCAGTGGGGTCCCCCAAGGCTCTGTCCTTGGACCCATACTGTTCAACATCTTCATTAATGATGTGGACACTGGGCCCTGACAATCTTCACCCCAGGGTACTCAAGGAGCTGGCGAGCATCATAGCCCAGCTATGTTGGCTAGCACTATGGAAGAAAGAGACTTGGGGGTCATCTTTGACCACAAGATGAACATGAGCCTGCAATGCGATGCGGCGGCTAGTAAAGCGACCAAAACGCTGGCTTGCATCCATAGATGCTTCTCAAGCAAATCCCGGGACGTCATTCTCCCCCTGTACTCGGCCTTAGTGAGGCTGCAGCTGGAGTACTGTGTCCAGTTTTGGGCTCCACAATTCAAAAAGGATGTGGAGAAGCTTGAGAGAGTCCAGAGAAGAGCCACGCGCATGATCAGAGGTCAGGGAAGCAGACCCTACGATGACAGGCTGAGAGCCCTGGGGCTCTTTAGCTTGAAAAAGCGCAGGCTCAGGGGTGATCTGATGGCCACCTACAAGTTTATCAGGGGTGACCACCAGCATCTGGGGGAACGTTTGTTCACCAGAGCGCCCCAAGGGATGACGAGGTCGAATGGTCACAAACTACTTCAAGATCGTTTCAGGCTGGACATAAGGAAGAATTTCTTTACTGTCCGAGCCCCCCAGGTCTGGAACAGCCTGCCGCCGGAGGTGGTTCAAGCGCCTACATTGAACACCTTCAAGATGAAACTGGATGCTTATCTTGCTGGGATCCTATGACCCCAGCTGACTTCCTGCCCTTTGGGCGGGGGGCTGGACTCGATGATCTTCCGAGGTCCCTTCCAGCCCTGATGACTATGAAATCTATGAATCTATGAATCCACATCATCCACAATAAGCACATCCCTGGCAAAAATATGGAACAAGTTAGGAACAAGTAGGCTGGATCCAGGAAAGAAAAATATTGTATTGATCATATTATTACCTTGATAGTCATTACTAAATAGAGTATCTTTATAAACTGATGTCTTTTTGCCATATTTTAGAAATGAAATGGCCTGAATGGATATGAAGTGGGGAACTATACAGAGGAATACAGGAGAGACCCACTGATGCTACCAGTAAAGAAAGAAAATGGAAATCAACCAGCTATATTCAAAAAAGAAATGAGGTACTGCATGTTGTTAGATAAGCCCTAGTGAGGAAGCCTCAGGGGATACAAAGGGTGCATCTTCACAAGATGCTTTAAGGCGCATTAGCTTAAATTTCAGGCACATTAGGGCACACGTCTACATGTGAGCACCCTTAATGTGCTTTAAAAATGGTGATTTTGGGCTAACTGTGCCTAAATTTGATACCTGCAAATGCAGGTGTGCATTAATGTGTTTTAACTATTCACATGTAGATGTGTTAAAGCACATCAGCGCTGTGTGTGGACTGATTTGGGACTAACTTTATTCCCAAGTAAGTCCACACACAGCATTAATGCACTTTAATGCCTGCATGTGTAGATGCCTGCCTAAACCTGCTTAATATGCATTAAGCTAACGTGTATTACATTTAGGCGCACTTAAATGCACATGTAGACATGCCCAAAGAGAAAGAAAAGCAGAAACATTCTGGAGAAAAGGAATACATCATAAGCTAAAGGAGGCTGGTGTGACCTGAAGTTAAGTGAACCAATGAGCCAATGACAGGAAAAGATAAAGGATTATTGTGAAGGCTCTATACTCCTCCCAGAAAGCAATGAATTAATGTGACCAAGTATTCCATCTCCTCTGGGCCAAAAAAAGCAGATCATTCCAGTTCGCCTTTCCAAGTGGATGACATAATTTTATCTCTGTAAGCTGTGATACAGAGCACCATAGCAAGATAGAC